CCTTCCTTCCTTCCGCCCCTTCCTTCCGCGCCTTCCTTCCTTCCGCGCCTTCCTTCCGCCCCTTCCTTCCGCGCCTTCCTTCCTTCCGCGCCTTCCTTCCGCCCCTTCCTTCCACGCCTTCCTTCCTTCCGCGCCTTCCTTCCATGCCTTTTTCTCTTTCTTTCTTTCTTTCCAAAGGCTTTTTAATTTCTTTGTGTTATGAACCATTAACATTTTTATAATACCCTTTTCTTGAAATTATAACCATTTCAGTTCTGTGCATTTCCTTGGTTTTTTAAAATTTACTTTCTCTCATGTTGTAGAAAGTAATCAGACTTGTTATTTGTTTTGTTACCATCTGTCTTCCAGGGTTTTCTTGGAAGTAGCCTAGGACAGAATTCAATAACTATGGACCTCAAATAATTGTGGCTCTTGCTTAGTGCTGTTAATTATTAGTGGATGGTTTATTTGCTGTGATTCATGTGAATGTCCTTACTGTGATAGTAAGTAAAGAAAAGTCTGACAGGCCACAAAAGAGAATTACCCAAATATTTACATGATAAAGACGTGAAAAAAATGGAGATTTCAGTAAAGGCAAAGCCAGAAAACTGTACTGATAATTCAACTAAGCTGGAAGTATCTGTAATACTGAATACACCAAAAAGTGATATCTTTTAGGAACTGCTTTTTAAACTGGAATATTTACATTTCTTACCTGATTTTAATCAATTTGGCCTTGCTTGACAATTGCTGCCTAGCCAAGAAATGCAGGTATCCCTGTGCAAATGCYCACCTAGACATGAGGCTTTGCTTCCATGAGTAATAGTTGTAACCAAATAGTATAAATCTCACAGTTTAAAATAATAGTAGAATGTAAAATAAATGTAGAATGTTTGTTAACCTAACTAAAAAAACATGCCATAGGAACTATAATGATGAAGAGTAAAATATCTCTGTAAGTGTTTATAGCACTTCAAATAAAATAGGCTATTGTTTTCCAAAAATTCCTAGGGCAAGATACTTGAGCTAACGTCTTTTGTCTATTAAAGATTGATACATATGTCATGTGTTTAATTAATTAATTAATTAAATTAATACAATAGGCACCATGTGTTTCAAATAAGTGCTTAAGGCAAGAAGAAAACGGTTTTAAGTACCTCATATACATACCTTGGTGAGAGGTACTTAATAGCACATGTAGATTCTTTCTTGATTTGTTTTTCTTTGTTTTATTCCAGCACGTGGGAGAGAGCGTAGATGTTTTAGCTTCGGGCTAGAGAGCCAGCTTACCCACAGTCATGCCCCAGATTCCCGGACACACTACAGAACTTACTCAGCATCTGGACCTGACACAGCCTCTGGTGTGACACCCAGCAGGACTGGTACAGGGTCTGCAGTAGGCACATTCTCCAATGTGACACACTACAGAACTTACTCAGCATCTGGACCTGACACAGCCTCTGGTGTGACACCCAGCAGGACTGGTACAGGGTCTGCAGCGGGCACATTCTCCAATGTGACACACTACANCTCTGGTGTGACACCCAGCAGGACTGGTACAGGGTCTGCAGCGGGCACATTCTCCAATGTGACACACTACAGAACTTGCTCAGCATCTGGATCCGACCTACCCTCCCCTATAACACCCAGGAGGACTGGTACTGTGTCAGAAATGGACACATCCTCCAATGCGTTACCCTACAGATCTTACACTGTGTCTAGACCCGACCTGTCCTCCAGTATGACACCGATCAGGAGTGGTATTGGGCCTGCAGCAGACACATCTTCCAATGTGATACGGTACAATACTTACTCCATGTCTGGACCTAACACAGCCTCTGGCGTGACATCCAGCAGGACTGGTACTGGGTCTGCAGCGGACACACCTTCCAATGTGATACACTACCACACTTATACTATGTCTGGACCTAACACAGCCTCTGGTATGACAGCTGAAAGAAGTGGCACTGAGTCTGCATCAGACACATCTTCCAATGTGATACGCTACAGAACTTATACCCTTTCTGCACCCAACATACCTTCTAGTGTGACAGGAAGCAGGACTGGTACTGGAACTTCCATGAGCATATCCTCCGGTGTGATACCCTGCAGAACTCATACCCTGTCTGGAGCCAATGTGGTGTTATCAAGCGACTCATCCTTCCATGTACCACACAGAACTTATACTATGTCTTCCAGCAACTCATCCTCCAGTCTCAGACGACGCAGAAGCAGTTCTTTGCCTTCACCCAGGTCTTCCAGCTGAATGGCTTACCCAGCACCAGAAGAAATGAGATTTAATTTTCAGAGTTTTGTCAGTTCTCTTAAGCAATATCCAAGCTTCCCATTAGAAGGAAAAAAAAWGTAGTAATGTAAAAAGAGGTCATTAAAGTACAGTTCTAACTTTGCATTGTAGTGCAGTTATGTATTTTCCCATTCCTGTGTTTCTCATTATTAGTATACTGAAACATTTGGGTCTTTTCAATTCTCATGTATCACAGTTGTTAATTTTTATGTAGTATATTTTTAAATGTCATAAAACAACACGTTTTGGGTAGTTTTCCTCATTCTTAAAAACGAAAAAATCCACAAGCCTTTTTAATCTCTATCAAAGTTGTTTCATACCTGTCCATTTTAAACCAGGACTACAATGCTTTAATAGGGTGGAGAGGCGTCTGTGAAATGCAGACAAGTGATTCCTTTTGTGGAATGCCACAGCCTATTTTTTTCTTCATCACCTCAACCACAGACGCACATTCAGATGCAAATTTAAATGAGTTGAGCAGAACAAAAATTTGGGCGCAACCTCACCTGTCTTTCTGCATTTGTAGAGCAAGGCTAATCCAGGCAAAGAGATTGCAATGAGTGATACAAAACCAATTGGAATGATCTCTGGTAACAGTAGAAGTCCTGTATCTCCACAGGATGTTTTGTCTGTCCCACTCTTTGTTAAGTTTTGGCTGCAAATGCCATTGCTCTTTCTTTCTTATCTAGAAGTACCATACCTGGGTTAAAAAACTGCCCCGTGGGACATATTCCAAACACACTTTGGTCCAGA